TCCATTCTTTATATACTAGGTGTGATATTCTGTATTCTTTGTCTATCCCTTGATTGATTTTGGGGATAGTTAATTTAATTTTGCATTTGCTTAGTAATTAGCTGTTCTAGTTTCTTTACTGTGGTTTTATTTCCTCTCATAACAGCTACTAAACCTTAGGAACACTTCCATCTATAGCAGTCCCTCCAAAATAGATGTATTTTGTGGGATGATTTGTGGGAGGTAAATTCTCTCAGCTTTTGCTTATCTGGAAATTGTTTAATCCCTCCTTCAAATTTAAAAGATAATGTTGCCAGATAAAGTAATCTTGGTTCCAGGCCCTTCTGCTTCACTGCATTAAATACATCATGCCACTCCCTTCTGTCCTGTAAGGTTTCTGCTGAGAAGTCTGATTTTAGCCTAATGGGCTTTTCTTTGTATGTGATCTCATTTCTTTCTCTGGCTGCTTTTAATAATCTGTCCTTGTCCTTGATCTTTGCCAATTTTATTACTATATGTCTTAGTGTTGTCTTCCTTGGGTCCTTTTTTTGGGGAGATCTGTGGATCTCCATGGCCTGAGAGACTATCTCCTTCCCCAGACTGGGGAAGTTTTCAGCAACTACCTCCACAAAGACACTTTCTATCCCTCTCTCTTTCTCTTCTTCTGGTATCCTTATAATGTGAATATTGTTCCATTTGGATTGGTCACACAGTTCTCTCAATATTCTTTCATTCTTAGAGATCCTTTTTTCTCTCTGTGCCTCAGCTTCTTTGTATTCCTCTTCCCTAGTTTCTATTTCATTTATCGTCTCCTCCACTGTATCCAACCTGCTTTTAATACCCTCCATCATACTCTTCAGCAATGGGATCTCCAACCTGAATTCATTCCTGAGTTCTTGGATATCTTTCCGTACCTCCATTAGCATGTTGATGATTTTTATTTTGAACTCCCTTTCAGGAAGAGTCATAAGGTCCATGTAATTTAAATCTTTCTCCAGAATTATATTAATTTTACTCTGGTCCAGGTTCCTTTGGCATTTCATATTTGTATATGGCTCCCTCTAGTGTCCAGAAGCTCTACTCTGGAGCTTCTCAGCCCTGAATCAATGTTGGGGTTCTCAGGGGAGCGGTATTGGTGCCTCGGGGGATGAAAGAGCTGTTCCCTGTTTCCCGGCTGCTGTGCCTGTCTCCACTGCCTGAACCAGTGGGCCAAGCACACAGGTATAAGCTTTTGTCCCAGAGCAGCCAGATATGGATCCCTGCTTTCCACAAGTGGCTGGAATCTCAGTCTCTCCAGGAATTCTGCCTGTATTAACTTTCCAACCAATGAGTATCATGCAAGTACCATGAAATGTATTTTTGTGCTCCCGGAGCAGATCTCTGGATCTAGTTATTCAGCAGTCCCACACCTTCCACTCCCTCCCTCCTCTGTTTCTCTTCCTCCTGCCGGTGAGCTGGGGTGGAGGAAGGGCTTGGGTCCTGCTGGGCCACAGCTCTGGTACGTTACCCTGTTCCGTGAGGTCTGCTCCTTTCTCCAGGTGTATGCAGTCTGGCACCATCCTCTTTCCTGTTGCTCTCTCAGGATTAGTTGCCCCAACTGTATTTTCTAATTGTATCCAGTTTTAGGAGGAAGCCTCTGTCTCTCCTCTCATGCCACCATCTTTAATCCAATCAAGGTAATAAATGTAACTTTTACATGCATTGGGAAACCAAAAAATTGTTTGACCCACTTGATGTTAATATTCACTTTACTGCAGCATGGCACTGTACCTATAACATCACTGAGATATGCCTATAAATAACCTAAGAAAACTCACACACTGACTTAAAATCATGTCAGGTTTTTAAAATGACGGTATCATATCCCTGCCTGAGATCCAGTTCTAATGGTCATTGTGAGATGAAAGCAGAAAAGTACATAGTACCTGCAGCAAGAATTAATTAAAAGGCAGGGAGTGGAGGATACAGAAAAAGGAGGGTTGCAAACACTACAAAATATTATTTTAATGTTTTGTCTTTGGGCTGGCTCTGGAAGAGGAAATGTAGAGAGAAGCATTTTTTAAATAAGTACTACTAATCCAATTTAATAACTACTTCTTGCTAACCTACAATATTTGTAACAAAAATTGTAGGTGCTAAAGAGTATTGGAATGTTAATCTCATAACAAATGCTGAGGTAAACTACATTAAATGTATTAATAGAAGTGGGATGCATAATATAAAACAATAAAACTATGTTTATGGTTCTAATTGTAGGGCTGTACTTAAACATTATATATGAAACTTCGTGGGAATTTAAGTACAGTTTTTATCTCAAACACTCTTGTATACAGGCTTATTTATACACATACACACTCTTAATCTCCTTCTAAACACCTGGTTCCATTTCCATCTTGGTTTAGGCCTATGGTTGATATTACAGGAAAAATCTGCCCTAAGTGGATCCGAAAGACCTGCCTGTCCACAAAATAACTCTTGCACTATTTTGCAATGGCACCTGAAAATTTCAGCAATCAAGTTATTTCTCCTCAATGAAGTAATCAGAAGCCATTTAGCAGGCATTTTTACTGGGAGTAACTTTATGCCAATTTCATCTAGAAATATCTTGACACAATTTATTTGTCACAATGGCTGGCCAATCCTTGGTAAGGCACTCTGGAAATAAGATATGGGATACATTTTGATATGAGAGAAAAGAAAGAGGGAAGGAAAGATGCCTACTAAGGAAGAAAAGGCCACATTAGGACTTCCCTTATGGGCCCTGGGAAATTAGTCTTGGTGTGGAGAACGGGAAGGCATTTCCAGGACATTAATGTACCCCAGAGCAAGTGATGTGAAATTGATGACAGAGTCTATCTTTGCATTTTCACATACAGACCCTCTAACCTGGTTATGCTGACTTTTCTTGGAGAGTAGAACCAAATATGTAATAGACAAAAGGTAGAAATCTAATTAAAAGAAGGTGAGAAGACAAAAGATCAATTGAGATAATCTACAGAGAATCAAGTTAGAGAGTTTTCATTTTAATCTGTTGACAGAATTAAACAGTACATTATTAAATATTAGATTCTTGAATTACGTATGTTCGTTTTGCCCTTAAAATAATAGCTACACTAATATATCTATTAGATTAAATTTAATGTGGTGTCCAGGATTGGACCTTGGAACAGGAAAAGGTTGTAGTTGAAAAAGCAGTGAGATAAGTAAAGTCTGTGGTTTAGTTAACAATATTGTACCAATATTAATTTCCTAGTTTTGATAAATAGCTTTGTAAGATATTAACAGTAAGGCAGGCTGAGAAAAAGGTATATGGGACCGCCTGGGTCTATCTGTAATTTTTCTGTAAATTTAAATTTATTCTAAGATAAAATGGTTATTAAATTTTTTTATTAGAATAACTATATGAGAAATTTTTTGAAATCAAATTGTGAACGATGCCAATTACTCATTTGGGAATATCATGTCTGTTTTGCAAAATTCTCTAGAGCCACTGAGTTTAATGGTTTGCCCATATTTTAATATTCTGAGCAACCATGGGAAGTCACTCTGGCTTCTCAGTGACAAAAGTGGTGATATTTTCTTCCAATAATGACTTCTGCATTAGGTCTGGATAATGCCTTCGGTCATTTATTTACCTCATGTTCATATTAGCTGCACATCTTAATTAAGGTGGACAATTTCCAGTTCCATGTTTCTTTCACTATCTGGAAGCCAGAGGTGTAATAACTATCTTAAGCTCTGACCATGTTTTGTTGAATGAAACTATGCTTTCTCCTTCTTTTATAGTACATAATCTTCCTTAATATTTTAAGATGTTTTTATATCATTTTCTTGTTTATTTTTTATTTGCTATTATTTTCCCATGTGTATATTATGGGAAAGAAAAGAATTTGGGCCTGTGTTCACTAATAAGTAAACCTTAGAAAATAAATAAGTAAACCTTAGAAAATAGTCTGTCAACACTATTATGACACAACAGACTTAGTAAAGATAGTAATCCAAATGACGGCACCTATTAACAAGATTAAACATCTATGCAGTAGCAGCCTAATGTCCTGATTAATCATCACAGGTTAAATGATAATTATAGCTTTACCGACCCGTAGCAAAGAGGAAGGTTCAGTAGCAGCAAAAGAGTCAAGGCAGAGAGGGACAGTTTTCACATCTTGTACTTCCATTGTAATCACTGTCATAAGTAAAGGGTAGAAATGTGAAAGGGATTATAGCAATTAAGTCTCGGTGGTTAAGAAAGATTTTAATACTGGTAGTGTAAGTGCAGAGCCGCCTCGTACTGCTGTGGAAGGTTTTCACGGGGCGGAGGCGGCGGGTGGGCTGAAATCCAGCCACTCTGCTGCTCCTGCCCATGCGAAACATTTTTTCTACTTGTCACAAAGGCGCTTCAAACGAAGTGAATAAAGACGCTGGTCTACCCGACGCCAAGAAGCTACAGACTGAGTTTCCTTCTCCACTGAATACAACGAAATTCTTACAGACCACGGGTCCAGGCATTTCTGTCACAAGTTTTAAATTCATAGTCTCCTGGACGCTTCTGCTAGAGATTACTCAACTTGTCACGGAACCAACACCTTTTCGGGCATTTCTCCCGAGTTGAATTTCCGCGTCTTTCACCCGTTTGTTTTTATTGTCTGTTAGGGGTTTTTCGTTTGTTTTTGTTTTTCACTCTGCTTCACCAAAAGGTCTCAAGACTCTGGTACCTTTGGTTTCCTCAATTAAGGTTAAAAAATCCTACAAGGCAGTTCAGTCTCCAGGGCCATCCCACTCAAAATGTTACATCCTGAGGTACCCACTCTGCACCCGCTTGTCCTTTACCACAGCGTCTCTCAATACTTCCTCAGTATTTCTTGCTGTTTTATCCCCAGGTTGAGAAGGGCCACTTTCTGCCAGCCCACGAAGGGCGCTTCGCACAGCGCCTGCGCTGGTCCCCAGGGCGGAGGGTGGGGGGCGGAGGGGGTAGCGCACCGTACGGCGCATGCGGCAGTCCCCGACGTAGCTTGCGGAAGAAAAAAGAACGTTGGCGGCCGGCGGTGACGTAAAAACACAGCGCGGTACTTCAGCGCATACACCTTCCGCGGGAGTGAAGGCTGGCCTGTCATGGTGAATTGCAGTTGCGTGTTTTTCAGAAAGGTTCGTTACTGATCCCCTCAGTCTGATGCCGAAGAGCCTGGACTTTCTAGACCCACTTGAAGGCTCTGGTTCTCCTTCGCTTTCCTCCGCGTCTTTATCTTCTGGGGTCCTCTTTCCTGTCTGGTTTTACTATAGTCCTCTCATCTCCGCCCCTCCAGGAGTCGGGCTTGGCCCGTGGGGCGTGAAAAGAGTGTGTCTTCCTGGCGCGGTTAGGACTGAGTTGGGGGCCCAGGGTTGGAGGTTCTTCAGGGGAATTGTGTGCACGTGAGATGAGCTGGGGAAATTTGCCTGCTGATTAGACAAGCACTGTGGTATACGTAGTAGGGTTGACTTTTTCTTTCGGCTCAAATATATCCATAGCCTGTTCTTAGTATATGTTTTCCTCGAATGCATTGCTTTTAAGAGCTTTCTAAAGAAGTCTTTTTGTCAATAAACGAAAATACGTAACAGGCTCTACTCCTTACAAGAAATTTACGTCGGTTTTTGTACGGTGCCGGTTTCTGAATCGTTTATGTAAAAATGCACAGTTGCTTCAAATTCAGAACCTCTTCAAGAGCCTTACTAGTGATGTTTTTTAAAACTTGGCAGCATCATTAAAAATGACGAGAGTGAGATACTCAATTTTGGTTTCTAAACCTCTGTACCTTATGCATCTAGAGCAACAAAAAAAAGTGTCACACATTGAATGGAACTTTAAACAGTAGTTTTCTTTTTATTGGAGAGAGAGGCATGCCTAGTAATATATCTGAATGAAATTATAGTTTGTTCCATCCTCTATTTTCTATAAAATATATAATCAAAAGAAAAGAGGTTTGTGAAAGATGTTAGTACTTGGGCATAGAAGGTAACTAATTCTTCAACAAAAAAAGAAACTACGGTGTTTGTGTGTGTGTGTGTGTGTGTGTGTGTGGCTAAGTTATTAAAGGCACTTATGTAGCCTTACTGCCATGAACAATCCCTTCCATTCATGTCTTTTTCGAAGGGAATCACTCACTTATATGTGATGCATTTCTGACCTAGCCTTGCAGAATCATAGTATAAGCTCTTCACGGACAGAAAAATAATCAGGCTAGCCCTCAAGTACATCTTTTACATATTCCTTCCACCCTATTTCCTTACAACATTCCATTTCATAACTATATTTGCATAGTCAAATGAAAACCTACACTTTGAATTTTTGCTATGTTTCTATCCACTTCAGTCTCAGATCTAAAACTGCATCAGTCTCACAAAGGGAGCGTGTGCTAAATGCGCTGCTTTGACCTATCCTCATCCCCTCTTCTAGAGTATATAAGAATGTTCAATGATCTTTATGTGTTTTGAAAGAAGTTCCCAGGTATTTTCCCAGACTATCGTAAATAACTAAAAACATGAAGATTATGAATTTAAAAAATTACTCTGCAAGTAATTTTAATAGTCTAGGAGGTTAATGCATAGGATCTTTATCTGTAAGAAGTTCATGCCTTAATGAGGGAAACAAGTAAACACTAAGTGCAGTATAAGATTTCAAAAAGTGTAATAATAGAGATAGAATTCATTTGCTAAGAGAACCCAGCAAAGTCAGTGTTAAGTGAAAATAAATCAGAAAATAAGTCATTCAGGTGGGTTTATGATAGAAAAGAACAAATGACATTGTAAGTAGAGGAAGAGCATGTGCAGAGTTACATGGAGATGTGACAGTATATCATGTACTACAGAGCAGAGAGAGAAATGAATGAATATGAAACTGAAAGGGTAGGTCGACAGCGTTGGTACTGAGAATTTTAGACATTTCATAATCAAAACAACCACGTGATTTTTTTGAGAAGGGAGAAACATGATTAGAGATCAGATCCATTTTCAGAAAAATAGCTCAAGCAGCAAGATGAAGTATGTGTGTAAGAGGGATGGACTAGATACTAAAAGACCAGTTAGGAGCTAATGTAATGGTCAAAGTACTAAAGCAATAGTAACAGAAACAAGAGATAGATAGTAGGTCTTTGGGAAAAGAAGCAGGTACAGTCAAAGATTCCCTTATTAAATGAATAGGTAAACTATGGTTTCATTATTTGAGAGAACATTGGAGGAACACTTTACCTGGGGAGAGTTTGGGCTTGTCATGTTAACACGATCGTATTTGAGTTGACTATTATACTTTCAACTAATATTTAAGAACAGGTTGCATATGTGAGGGGTTGCAAATATAAGTTAAATACACATCTTGCTCTTAGTTGCTTTAGACTATTAAGCTACATTCTGGTGGAGATGTTCAACAGACTGGACATAAGAGAGTATCTCAAGTGGTAGTTACTGGTAGAGGCCAAGGTAACCCAAGGGAGAAAATATGTATTGAAAAATGGACCGGTGTCAGAAACCTTGAGACAAAAAGTAGAACAACAATTGATAATTGGCAAAAAGGGTCTTCAGAGAATTAATCAAATGGGAAAGGAAGATGAGACAGGAGGCAAACTAAGAAAAAAGTATATAGATTTGACATACAGCCAATACTGATTTTTTCAAAGGAATTTTAGTGGTAACAAAGGACTAGAAAAGAGTTCTGAGTTGATAAGCACATTTGGTATACAAATATTCTCTTTTTCTCTTTTTTAAGTATGGAAACTTCATTGATAACCTAAGACTCTTCACCAGGGGAGGAAGTGGTGGAATGGGTTACCCTCGTTTAGGTGGAGAAGGTGGAAAAGGTGGTGATGTCTGGGTTGTAGCCCATAACAGAATGACTTTAAAACAACTTAAAGACAAATATCCTCAGAAAAGGTTTGTGGCTGGAGAAGGAGCAAACAGTCAGTAAGTATTTAGCAAATGACTTTGCTTTTTAGACAATTTGATTTTAGACTTTGATTTTTAATTATTTAAAAAAGAAAGATAAAAGTTGAATTTGAAGTAAATTATATCCTGTATTTGCAACTGAGCAGAAGCCTACAGTATTTGTCTCAACTCTAGTGAAGATAAAAGGTAGGTGCTAAGGAATGTTTCAGACCTTATATACTTCTTATTCTTTTCTTCTCTCAGTGTCCGTTTATATTCTTTTGTACCTCTCTGTAGAAACATAAAATGATCTGAATCCCCCCTGTTTTCTTTTAAAATTATCTTGGACAATTTTAAGGAAACCTCTCTCAAATCTCAACTGTGCTATTCCACCCCATCCCTCCCAGTAGTTTCAGGATCTGTAGGCAGTACTTAAAATTTAGAGCCTGTTTCACTGATACATCCATTGTAAGCTTTCCTTTGACTTCTATTTTGCTTTTCTTTGTTTGACAACAAAACACCCTTTATTATTTGTTAATAGTTACTTTCTATGGAACATATAATGTTGGCCTCAAAATACGAAAACTGTTTTTCATTATAAAGAAAATGAAGAAAAATCTTACTCAGTTAACCTGTATTTTGGAAATAGAATAGCACTTTGCCAGATAATCAAGGTAGGAAAGCATGTGTTGGCAAGTGAACATCATATATAAAGGCACTGGATTAGAAGGGAACAAGCTGTTTGCTGAAATAATAGTTATTTCTTCCATAATCATGGTACACAGGTAGTGGCTTGTTTTAAAATAAAGATACTGTAGTTCAGATCATGAAGAGCCCAATATGCTGTTAAAGAGTTTGAATATTATCTTAGAGTGATGAGAAGCCATTGAAGGATTTTAAATAGGCGAGTGACATTAATAAATTTGTGTTTTAGGAAAAATCACCTTGGGGGTAATTGGATGAAGAATGGATTTGAGGTGATGATCCTGACTAGAGACAGACCAGTTTGGAGAACATTGTGGTTTTTCAGAAATGGTGGCGGTCTGAGTTAAAAGTCCTGTACCTGTCTGTCTAGTCTCATCTCCCTCTACATTCTGTGTTTTCTGCATTCCAGCCACACTGGTCTTCTTTTATGTGTTAAACTGGTATTTGTCTACTGTTACTGGAACTTTGTTCACATTATCTTTCCTATAATAATGCTTTTTATTCCATTCACCCAGCAGGCTCCTATCAATCCTTTAGATTTAAGTTTAAGTCTTTCCTCATCTCCATGATTAGGTCGCAATTCCTATACCCACCCACCTCGGTAGCCTGCCCTTCGTAAGACTTGTCACAGTCATAATTTTCCATTTTTCCTGTATTTGATGAATGTCAGCTCTCCTACCAGAGTACTGTAAGGTCCATGAGAGCAGAGAACAGACCAGTTGAGATCATCATTTTGTACCAGACATCTAGTACAGTGATTGGCACGTAATAGATGCACAATTGACATTAGTTCAATGAATGAATTGAATTGACAAAAATGGATGAATTAAAAATATGTTAAAGAAATAGAATAAATTAGTGATTGATGGAGTATTGAAGAAGAATGGAAAATCAAGGATGGCTTCCTGGCTTTGTGGTATTTCAGAAATGATAATGATCTGAGTTAAAAGTCCTATACCTATCTGTCTAATCTCATCTCCGTCTACATTCTGTGTTTTCTGCATTCCAGCCACACTGGTCTTCTTTTAATGTCTTAAACTGGTATTTGTCTTCCGTTACTGGGACTTTGTTCACATTATCTTTCCTATAATAATGCTTTTTCTTCCATTCACCCAGCTTTGACTTCAGCAGTGGGTAGATGATAGCACTATTCTTGAAGGACTATAGTTGAAAGCTGCAATTGGGATGTAAAGGAAAGAAGTTTGAGGGTCCTATGGAGATGTCCAGCAGAGCATTTGAAATATAGGTTTGTGATTGAAGAGTATGGTCTGGTCTAGAGATAAATTTGTTGATCATAAGCATAGACCAGGAAAGGTGGATTACAGAAGAGAAAAGGGTTGAAGTTCAAATTTTGTTACTTACAAATATTTAAGGGAAGGGAACAGAAGGTGTCCAAAATGTAGAGCCGGGGGATACTTAGTGTCATGGAGGTTAGAGGAGGAAGAATTTGAAAGAGTAGGAGGTAACAGTCTCACTTATCTTTATATTATACAGTTTTATGAATAACATCTTCCTGTGTGTTCATTTGGGTCCTACAAGAATCGGATTAGATGAGTGAGAGATTTATTGGGGGAAAAACACCTGTAAAGGCAAATGGAGAGGGAGCTGAGGTAGGTAGGGAAAGCTGTCTGACTGCTGTGCATGTCTAAGCGTTATGAAGGAGAGAGGGAAGGGGAAAGTTGTAGGCTGTTGTGTGTGTCTAAGAAAGGTCAGGCTGATGGGGACTCTCTAAGCAAATGTTGCCCATCAGAGAAATCCTTGTCTCCTATAAAAGGGCCTGCCTGAGTAACCCTGCTGTACCCAGTTACTGGCTGGAAGTAGGATGTGGAAAGCATCACCTCCTCAAGATTTCAGAGCTCAGCAGCTGAGGCCAAGCTTAGTTATGATAAAAAATAAAATAGGAAACATTAGCATGTATCACATAATATTACTTTATAAAACTTTAAATTTGTATATATGTATGTATGGGAATGTACTAGGTCCAGATGTATTATTTCTTAGTGAGTTGCCATTGAAAATTGAAAACTACTGCTCTGAAGAAACCAATGCCTTCAACATGTAAATTCCTTGAAAGTGCTCAGGATCTGTATAAAAGTGTCTCTGTTTCCTCACTGTAAAATAGGGATAATAATAGTACCTATTTCACAGTATTGTCATGAGTCTTTAAAGCTTTTAAGAGTGCCTGGTACATAGTATAAGTGAATAAGTAGTATATGATTATACAATAGCCTTAATAATGTGGTTGTTACTGTTTAATTATATAATCTAATCTCTTTTTCATTTGTATATTTTCCTCTATATAAAAGTAATTTTTATCTCCATATAAAAGTTGTATCTCTATATAAAAGTAATTCAAGTTCATTATAAAAATATTAGATAAAATAAAAAGATTTGGAGAAAAAGTCAGTTACTTATATTTCTTCTACCATGAGATAACCACTATTAATCTTTTCTTAACTTTTCTAGGACTTTTCTGTGTGTTTAAGTAAATGTAATTCTGTGGATGTATACACAATTTGGGGGTACAAAGTGAGAGTACAGAATTTTGCAACCTCCTCTTTTCACTTTACATTTCTTTCAATGCCAGAAAGTTGTTCAGAATGGCTGCACAGTATTATACTATTGTTCATAACATGACTTTTTTTGTCATTCATCTATTTAGGTAATTACTGATTTTTTTTTTTTACTGTTGAAGTCACAATGCAGTATATACATCTTTGTGTATATAGTAGTTTACATGGCTGTTCAGGTTTTTGGGTTTTTTTTGGATAAATTTCCAGAAGTGAAATCACTAGTTAGAAGTTTGTATCAATTTATTCTCTCATGAGCAGTTTGAGAGTAGCCAGATGAGCTTCCTATAATCAAAGTACTCTCACTTGAGGTTAGTTTTTTAAAAGCTTTGTGAATCAATGGATTTTCCATTTTTTTCTAGCTTATTTGTATTGTAGCAATGATCTCTTCATTTCAGGTGTACAATATCTTACTTCCTTATGGGTTAAAATAACTTTTGGTGGTTAGCTTGGTAACTTAAATCATTACTCAACATTATTTTTATTGGGATATGATAGTCTAAACATAGTTTAAATTAAAATAGTCTAAAATATTTTACTTTATTTAAATTTTATCTGTTTAGATAATTAGGAATAATTTTATTTTCCATTATCATTTGACTATATAACATCTGCATTAGGAAAAAGAGTCAGTTGCTAGTCTTCTTTGTAAACCACTATATTTTCTTGAAGCATAAACTGTTTAACCTAGTGGGTTTCCTTATTTTAATTTAGCTTTATTTTTCTGTAGAGTTAGTGCACTGAAAGGCTTCAAAGGAAAAGACTGTGAAATTCCTGTACCTGTGGGTATTTCAGTAACTGATGAAAATGGTAAAATTATAGGTAAGTGTACTATAGCTCTAAGGTTGTGAAAAATGTGCACGTTTTCCAAAATTGGGAGCTGTGCAGAATAGCTCCTTATGACTTTCAGAACTTTTTTTAACATTAACTAATACAGCTGCTAATTTATAAAAAGCTTTTTAAAACTATATAAAAGCTCAAAATTAACTGCTAGATTTAAGATTATTTTAAAGATATTTACTTGGTTTTAAAACATGTAACTAGTCTCTTCAAATGCTTACAAAGTATTTTCAGGATCATACTTTTAATAGAAACTTAATCCTATTGTTTAGCCCTTTAGATTTTTAAGTTGGAATTTCTGGCATCTATTTCTAAAGGAAAAATGTCATTAGTGGTTAGCTCCACTTAATCTTTGTTCTAAGTATCTTTCTTTCTCTTTTTAAGGAGAACTCAATAAAGAGAAAGACAGAATTTTGGTAGCCGAGGGAGGTCTTGGAGGTAAACTACTGACAAATTTCTTACCACTGAAAGGCCAGAAGCGAATCATTCACCTCGATCTAAAACTTATAGCTGATGTAGGACTAGTGGGGTAAGTATCACTCATATTTTTGTTTTTACAGTTTCAGAGACATAGGTAGGAAATAGCCAGCATTTTTTATGGAATACATTTATGGAATTTGTGCATTGTCTATATACTTTGATAAAATGCTGCTAACATAATTACTGGAATTATTATTCCTTTGTTAAAAAAAAAGGATCAAGATCATAACAATTGAGTAGGCTACTGGGAATGTTAGAGAATGACTAAAGGGAGAAAAATCAATCAAATGTAGTAGTATAAGAAAATAAAAGAATGTTACCAGATACTAAGGAATAAAACTAAAAATCTAAACAAACCATATTTTTAATAGTGCATGGAAGGAAATGAAAAGAGGGGGAAAATAATAGAAGTATTCTTACAAGTCTTAACAGAGGTATTGAGGTATTAATCAGATGGCTAACAGCCAGTACAGACAATCTTAATCATCACACTTACACACTATTGAACTCTTGAGTTGTTCTTTGCTATGACTGTTTCCATGTCCTTCATGGTCTGCTTAGTATCTGTCTGTTCTCAGTACTTCAGACCTCACAATGTTGTCCTCTTCTAGCAGCCTCCGTTCTTTCATCAAACAATGCTGTTTAGCTGTAAGGTTTGCAGTTCTGGCCTGACTGGAGGGAGATAGGTAGCAAGATAGAGAGTAGAGAAAGGAAGGAAAACTTCAACTTTGCATTTCTCTTCTCTTGCTTTCTCTCCCTGGCCTCACTTACAGCATTACATAGTCAGAGATGGAAGGCCTCAGGAAAAGATACGGAAAACTGCCAGTTCCATCTCTTGCTTTGCATAGTTTCTTTCTAAGCTTTTTTTCCCTCTTCCTTTCCAGCCATCTCACTGCTTATTTACCAGACTCTTCAGTCTGAATCCCTCACCTCTTAACCATGCCTGTCTTACCAGTAGTTCTTACCAGCAATGTTTTAGAGTTCACAGAGGCCCCATTCCTGCTGATGTAACAGGAAAAGGTGGGATCCTGGTATTCAAGCTTGCTATTCGCATTCCGTTATAACCATAGTTATAAGGGTTATAAAGCATAAGTTCTGTAATACTCTGTATTCTTTAGGAACATTGTGGGTTCAATAGGGTTTTGAAGACGAGGCTGAGAATCTAGCCATTTCCAATCTCATTTGGTACAAAATGTGTTTCAAGTTCCATAGAGACACCTTTACAGAATATGAAGAGCCTACAAGGTTGAATAGTAAAGGCTAGGTGAGGATGGGGGACTCAAGTGAGACTATTTAAATTAGAAGCTCAAATCTTCTGGAGTCTGCCTAGATGATCTTGAATAAGTTATACAGTCTAAGCCATGTTTTCCTCATTTTTAATAGCAGATGGAGATAGTTCTTACCTTAAAAGATTGGTGAGTAAGGTAACGCATTTGCCGCACAGCACATGCCTTGGATTTGTGAGTGCTTCGTAAATGAATGGTAGCTGCTGTCCTCATCATCCTTTGTAGTGCCAACCTACTGGAGACTACATAGAGTGAAATACCAAGCTTTTCAGAAGTGGATTGGAGATTACAGTCAATAATTAAAGCATCAATGTTCTAAAGCACAATGCTTAATGAATCTATTCTTGGGCTAATTTAAAGCAACTATTCTTAAAAAACTACTACTGTAAATATGAGAATAAGCAGATACCCATTTAGCTGGTTTCAGGAATGAACTGAACCTTGGAAGAAAGGTGTCATATAACTAATACACTAATACTGCTGTTGTCAAGGCTGATCTTTGCATAGGTTGGATTTTAGCCTCTGAAATTTTCATTAGGTATTTTTTCAAGAAAAATCTCAAGTTCTTCAGCCATTAGCATCCTTTTTTTCTCCTACTTTCATCTCTTTGGAAAAAGTAGTTGCATTTTTCTGGGCTTAATCACTGTTATGGAAATACAAGGATATTGGAAAGAAATAAATCCAACTAGTGATAATCATGGATAAAAATGATTGTAATTTCATGGGGGAAATTTAGCAGTAAAATCAAAGCTTTTAAAACAAGCATATATTTTAATCCAGTATTTCCTCATCTAGAAATTGATCTCAAGAAAGAGATCAAAGGTATGTGGAAAGGTCCAAGGAGAGTTACTGCAGTGTTTAAAGGTTTTGGAAAAAGTTAGACAAGTAACTCATTTGCAGAAAGAAAAAAATAGTTGTCAATTAATCCTACCACACAGAGGTGACTGTTAACATTGGCGCATGTCTTTCTAGCTGTATGTATATTTTTTTGCAATATTATTTATAATAGTAAAAAATTGGGAACAACCTAAATGTCTAACAATAGGAAATCAGTTAAATTAATTAAAGTGTACCCTTGAAAGGCATTCACCTTAGTAACATTCAGTTTGAAGTAGGGTAACCAACTATGAAATAGTTTTTTAGGGAAAAAAAAATCAAAACTGAATCTGATGAAAACATTATGTTTAACTACCAACTTACAGAAAATCCAGGGCAAAGGACCATGTTAAATGACATCATGGGGGTATCAACAAAAAAAATACAGATTATGGAAAATAAATCATACAGGACAAATAACCCAGTTTCCTCAAAAATGAAATCGCAAAGGGAAAACAAGATGGAGGGAAAGCCTTTATCAAAAGAAATTTAAGAGACACATAAAGCAGTGGTAATACATAGACCTTATTTGGGTTCCTATTCAAACAAACCAACTTTCAAAAAAAAAAGTATTGGAAATTCATTAATATTTGTTGAAGCCAGGTGATGGCTAAATGGAATTCATTACTTCTTTCTTCTACTGTGTCCATATAAAGTGTTTTGTTTCTTTAAAATCCACAAAACAGTGTAAGTAATATTTTGTCAGTGTTTGACTAAAGATAGTAGATTGCAGGCATTTTCATTAGTTTCTTTCTGTTCTTCTGTAATTTATAAATTGTTGGGTATTTTTTAACATGAGTTATTTGCTTTCAACACTGAAACATCTTCAGTGTTCAGCATTGATTTGTCTTTACTTTTTCATAAGTATATTTTCTTCCTCAAGTCTTTCAGGATTATTTTATATTTATATTCCACTTTAATCCCCAAAATTACCAAGAAGTCTACTTCCTGAAATATTAGGAATTAAAAGATAAATATTATTATTACTAATATTTGTTGTATTACTTTATTTTCTTATTTCAGATTCCCAAATGCTGGAAAGTCCTCTTTATTAAGTCAGGTTTCTCATGCAAAACCTACAATTGCAGATTATGCATGTAAGTATAATTTATTGTATATTTTAATGCATGGAGGTAAATTTTTAAGAACTAATCTTTGAGTATGAATAAAATAACAACTCTGAGGGGAGCCTTAGTTTGAAAACTCTTGGCAATTAGAATACATGCATTCCCCATTTTCCTTTGAAACCTTTATAGTCCTCAGCAAAGTTCCAAGTACTTGTTAGACACTTGCTTTGTTGCATTTATTTCTCTGTTGCATAATGATTTATTTGGTTTAGCTTTGATTTTATGAGGATCTACCCTTTATCAAGTATTGTGGTAAATACTAGGAAGGCAGAAATGAATTCTAATGTAGCAAGTATTTATCTGGGAACTGCAGTAGATTCTAGGGTTACAAAGACTTAAGTAAGCAGAAATGGATACTGTTCTGAATTTTACTGAGCTTACAGACTAGTGGGAGAAAGCACATATATCACTAATAGATATGAAGGAATCTAATATGATTCTGTGTGAGGGGACTCCTTTAGACTTCTTTGGGAAAGTGTGATGCTGGGGTCAAGGCATGAAGAATAAATATAAGTTAATTGGTGACAGAGTGGAGGTGAAGCATCTTTCAGAGGAAAGAGCAATACATAAAGGCTTTGTGGTGGTACGGAGTATATGTGTGTCTAGAGGATGTGCAGTTAGGGAAAGAGAATTGAGGTGAGGCTGGAGATGTAAGTAGAGACCATATATAGACCATTTAGGCTGTACTTGTTCTTTGTATTTTAACAACAGTTGATAGCCTTTTAAGTAAGGGATAAAAATGATTAGATTTGCTTTTCAAAAAGATCTGTATATGTACAATATAGAAAATGGATTGGTGTAGGACACAAATGGATCTGGAAAAGGCTGTTGCAGTAGTAGCTCAATGTGATATAATGGAAGCTTAGACTAAGGGTATTTGAATGAACATGCTAGGATTACTGCCATCACTAAACAAAAAACTAGGAAGGATGTTAACTTGGAAAATAAAATTCAGCCATCCTAAAATAGATTCTGATGAAATAGAGTTAATTTTGGATTAACTGCTATACAGTACATGGTCAGTATTTTTTCTTATAATAATACAGGGGGGAACTCTTGAGAAGGAAAGAAGAAGAAAAGCAAAAAGTCATAGGAAGAAGGCTAATGCAGGATTGCTGAGGCTTGAGGATAACTGAGTGAGAAAGGGCTAGAAAATTTCAGTCACAGAACCAGTGATAGAAACCTGAATTCTGCCCCCGATCACTGCCAGTCTCAGCACCTTTACCATGCTACTTAAAATGCAGAAGAACTCTTGAGGCCTACTGATAGATTTGAGCTATGCCTCTGCAGATTATAAAAATCTATGTCCTTTTCCAGGTATGTTATTAACAGCAGAGTTAATTGTACCTTCTGTTTCAACAAATGAGAACATAATCTGTAAATTATTCACAGAAAGTAAATATTGTTAATTTTATACATAATGCTAAGACAGTTTTAAGAATACCAGCCTTTATTTTATCCTTAGTTGTTATTTTTCTTTCAGTTACCACATTAAAGCCTGAACTTGGGATGATTATGTATAATGACTTCAAACAGGTGGGTATTTTTCAAGTAAGACACTTGGTTGGAAGTGAAAGTACTTACTTTGGTACTTGGACTTTAAAACATTAGACTGTTTCTCTCATGTTTAGAGGAAAAATAAGCACCAAGACTTTTTTTGTGTGATAAGTGAAACCATAAATTCTGCTGAACCACAAGGATAGTAAAATACTGAATAAGAATGTAACATCTTGTTCTCCCAAAGATTAGGTCTAGTTTGTCACTACAATATTGTATTTACTTCATCTCCATTTGTTCTCATTACAAGGCCTTATTTTACTGCCATATTTGATTATTGATTTTTGTTTCCTAAAAACATTTTTTAAAGTTCATGGGAGTCATTTTTATTCCAACTTTATCTTTAAAAAACAATGTTTTTAAATTGAATAGGATTCTGGTCTTATCTAGCTACTAGCACAATTTTTCTCTGATGCAGAAGAACTATAGATCTTTTAAATAATTAGAATAAAAAGAGGAAAGTAACAAAATATTTAAAAAATATATATGATCAACAGTCATGCTCCTTGGTGTTTACCCAAATAAAACTTCCACACAAAAACCTGCACACAGATGTTTATAGCAGTTTTGTTCATAATTGCTAAAACCTGGAAGCAACCAAGATAACCCTTAGTAAGTGATGAATAAATACACTGTGGTACTTACAGACAGTGGAATATTATTCAGCATTAAAAAGAAACATCAAGCCATGAAAGACACGGAGGAACCTTAAATACATATTACTAAGTGCAGGAAGGCAATCTGAAAAGGTTACATACTGTATAATTCTAGCTATATGACATTCTGGAATGGAGAAACCATAGAGATAACAGAACTACTAGTGGTTGCCAAAGATTATGGGGACAGAAAGGGTGAATAAGCAGATTACAGAGGATTTTTAGGGCAGTGAGACTATTCATTGTGGTACTATAATTATGGATACATGTCATACATTTGAAGAAACCCATGGAATATGCAACACCCAAGAGTGAGCCCTAATGTAAAGTATGAACTTAAGGTTATGATGTATCAATGTAGTTTTCATATGATCCATTGTTGTTATTCAAAAGACATAAAGGATTGATATTTACTTATAATAGTAGTATAACTGTAAAAGATAAATTTCAACAGTTATGTTGAATATTAATAAGTAAAATTACAAATAAAGGATATTATGAATTTAGAGAACAATATTTAAAAGAAAAGAGAACATTGTAATTTTTAAGGGAAATCAGTAGAGAGCCCCTGGAGAAAATTTTAGCACATGCGACTTCTATTGTGTACACTGTTTAGTCACATAGACACAACTTCCTTTAAAACTGTGAAATCCATGTTCACACAGGCAGTGTGTGTGCAGCAGTGCTTCTCATCCCTTACCTGAGTGCTCAGAAAAACTGATAAATGAAACCTTTGCCCCAGAGATTTGAAACCATATCCCTTGGTGGGGATAGGGCCTGGGTATTTATAGTTTATAAAATTTCCCTAAGTGATTATAATGTACAGTGGTGTTTAAGAACCACAAGTGTAGATAGAATAATGGTTGATAACTTGCCATCTCCAAAAGAGTATAGAAACACTATATCCTTACTTTTTAAGAATGATCAGTAGTCCTCCTGGTAGAACATGATAGAAAAGGAATGATGGTGTCAAGTAATCAATTATAGAACTTAAAACTGCAGAGCTATACTAAGTGTCTGTTTAATTAATATCCTTGTACTCTTAAGAATTCAGAAAGTTGAAATTCTGTGAAATGTTCATATTGGACAATTTGTGGAGTCCTAAAGATAATTTATCTGATTGATAAATGTTAAACTAATCCCTAAAATTCCTAGATTGTTTGATTAATAAGTAAAAATGGGAGTCTAATTTCTGATAACAAAAGATTTTGATTGTTAATACATTTATTTTGTTATAAAATTATCTGGTTTTATAAAGATACAGTGATAATCACAAATGGGGAACTATTCATATTTAAAATGTCATGAAAATTTATGATGTAATTGTATTTGAAGTTCTCATGTATTTTTCTTTTTTATCAAACCATTTAACTTTACTAGATATCAGTAGCTGATCTTCCTGGTTTAATAGAAGGAGCACATATGAACAAAGGAATGGGCCACAAATTCCTCAAGCATGTAGAAAGGACTAAGCAACTACTTTTTGTTGTAAGTCATATGCATAAATGTAGTGTCCAAATGAATGTGAAAATCAATCAGCTTAGTTTTATTATCGTATATTATTACAAATCAGAGATGATTTGTAATAATAAAATTTAAAGATAAAGTGGTAAGAGGTTACTCCACTGAGTCTGTTTAGACGGGGATCAAATATAGTAAGTAATCCTGGTTTATAAGATGGGGATGCAAATGATGTTCTTTGCTTATCAGGAATAAAGTTGCCATACTTGTAAAGGTTTAATTCCTTAAGATTTTCAACATACTACTATATCATGTCATATGCCTTTCTGACTTCATTGATGGTGTTTGAGTTATATATAAGTGTGTCTATATTGGTATAAATTCTCTTATCTAGTTTCTCATTTTATTAATGATTATGAGTTTATCAAAATAATTTAGCTATCTTGACACATCAATTTCCTCATTTTGAATTACTAAATAACGAATAGAAAAGTAAAATAGATTGAGCAATTATTTTTGCAAAATTATTTTTAGCTTGAGTAAAACATTTAAAAACAGAGAAGTATACAATTGTTGTTCTTGTGTTATCTCTTTATCTTTTTTTTTTTTTCTTAGGTGGATATTTCTGGGTTTCAGCTTTCTTCCCAAACTCAGTACAGAACTGCTTTTGAAACCATAATACTGCTTACAAAAGTAGGTTTTTTGTTTTACTCTGGTGTTCTGTATCTGGTCTGATACATAGGTGCATAGGGCTATATGAAATAACATTTAACTATTAGAATAAATATATGTCCCACCTGTACATTTTTTTGTTGTTATCATTAATCTACAATTACATGAAGAACGTTATGTTTACTAGAGTCCCCCCTTCACCAGGTCCCCCCAACAAACCGCATTACAGTCACTGTCCATCAGCATAGTAAGATGTTGTAGAATCACTACTTGTCTTCTCTGTGTTGCACAGCCCTCCCCATTCCCACCCCACACATTATACATGCTAATCGTAATACCCTCTTTCTTCTTCCCTGCCCTTATCCCTCCCATCCCTCCCATTCTCCCCTTTGGGAACTGTTAGTCCATTCTTGGGTTCTGTGATTCTGCTGCTGTTTTGTTCCTTCAGTTTTTCTTTGTTCTTATACTCCACATATGAGTGAAATCATTTGGTATTTGTCATTCTCTGCTTGGCTTATTTCACTGAGCATAATACCCTCTAGCTCCATCGATGTTGTTGCAAATGGTAGGATTTGTTTTCTTCTTATGGCTGAATAATATTCCATTGTGTATATGTACCACATCTTCTTTATCCATTCATCTACTGATGGACACTTAGGTTGCTTCCATTTCTTGGCTATTGTAAATAGTGCTG